TCTGGCTGCACCATACATGCACATGGGCACATATATGCACAACACACACACATGCACGAACGCACACGCACACTGGTGGGTCTCCATTAAATTCAAGGGGACCCTCAGTGCAGCTGGCAGTCTAACCACCTGTCTGTAGTGCATTCACTCTCTCTCTTAGATGATTATTTCCCAATTCCTCTCTCCTCAAAGGTTCCACTTCCACCCTCCACAGTCTCAGCTAAAGATTGTATTTCCTATTTTACTAAGAAAAAAGAGACAACTATAATCTCCGCAAGCTCCATTCACTGTATCTGGGCCCATACAGTCAACTTTCCTTCCAGATACTGTGCATAAACTTCCATCTCCCCGTTCCAGGCCAACTCCACTTGTCACCCAGACCCCCTTCTCACCCAGCACACTCCTCCTTTCTCCTCCATCAGTAGTTTTCCTCTATAATTCATCATTGCCATCACAACACACATGCTGTAATTTCTCCTATCTTAACAAAAACTCCTTGAACCACATATCACTTCCTAGCTCTCTTTTATTTCTCTGCCACCTTTATGGTAAATTCTTGGGAAGAGTTGTCTATATCTGCTGCCTCTGGTTTCTCTCCCCCATTCTCTGCTATGGTCAGATTTTGCCCCCATCCCTCCATTGAACTGATTGCTAACGGCACCCATGACCTCTGTTGTTAAATGCAATGCTGAAATCTCACGTGCACTCACATCCAACCACTCTATTTGGAATGGTTGACAATTCCATCCTTCCTGAGATGCATTCATCACCTGGCTTTGAGACCACCCCACTCTACTGGTTTTCCCTTCTCTAGCTGTCCTTGTCAGCCTCCTTTACTAGTTTTTGACTATGGTGGAAGGTCTGAAAGCTCAGACATCCCACTCTGCTGCCCACTAGGCTTGTCAAGTCAAAATATCCACAATGGAATTCTGATTCCTCCCTATCCCAAACTTGCTCCACCTGCTTGAGTAATGATATCCTCATTGTCCCAGGTATCCAAGGCAGGAACTGCTACCACCACGACTCTCACATAACATCTAATCTGTCAGCACTAATTGGCTTTGTTTCAAAGTATGCCCAGAGTTGCACTGCATCATCTTATCGCCTGTACTTCTCCCACTTGGACCAGCCACCATCATCTCTTGCCTAACTCCTATCTCTGCATCCATCCTTTATGCCCTTAGTACCTATTCTCATCAGAGAAGCTAGACTAATTCTGCTGAAACATGAATGAGTCAGGTATGGCGCTCTTCTGCTCAACCTCTTCAATAGCCTCCCATTGCATGCAGGACAAAAGCCAGTGCTCTTACAATAGCCTGCAAGGCTCAGTGACTGGGTCTCCTATTGTCTCTCTAATATCATCTCCACAATTCTTCCACTGGCCACAGAGTATCCTGGTGTTCCCTGAACATTTAAGACAGGCTCTTACCTCAGTGCCTTTATACTTGCTGTTCCTTCTTCCTGGATTGCTTTACCTCTAGATATCTGCATGACTCATTCCCTCACCTCCTTTAGATCGTTATTCAAATGCTGTCTTCTTAGGGAAGGCTGCGTCCACTACCTGTTTACCATTGCACTTCTATCCCCGCAACTGGTCCTCTCCATTCTCCTTCCCTAATTTATTTCTCTGTATAACACAAATCTACCTGATAATAGTGTAAGCAGCCATCCTGGTTTGCCTGGGACTGTCCTAGTTTTAGCATTAAGAGTCCCACATGATGGGAAGCCACCTACCCCCAGGCAAACCAGGACAGTTGGTCACCCTACTGATATATGTTTTCCATGTTTATTGTTGGTACAGTGACAATATAACAATATACTTCTTCATAGGGATTTTGGATAATTTGTTCACTACATCTGGTATATATAAGTTCTCAATAAATGTTTATTTAATGAATGAATGGAGAGCCAATAATGACTACAGTAAGTTAGTATCATCCAGTGCTTAGTATATAGTAAATGTTCAATAAATGTTATATTGAAAGAAAAGATGAATTCCCTATAACTTTACACATGATTAAAACAGATCTACAAATAACCCTAATTAGTATGTTAATTACTAACAGATGTGCAAATAAGACTAACAACATGTTAATTGCTAATTCACCCTGTTTTTTTTGTATTCATGACAAAAACTAATATATATGCTGAACATACAGTGTCATGCACAAGTCTGAAGACCATCATTAATTTAGGCCTTACCTGGCAGGGAATCATACATTTACCTGCAGATGACCAGAGGGACCTGCCCCCAAAGCCCCGAGTTGCTCAGGCAGCCTCCTGCAGCACCCAGGCCTCTGATGCCCACCCAGCCCCCAGAAGCTCTGCGGCCCCCACCACTGCGGGGCTAAACTGGTTGGAAAAGTTGGGCTACACAATTTCTACAGTTAAAATGATTACAGTTCTCAAAACTTTTCAAAAGAAAAAAATCTGACAAACTATTCAAATAAAAATAAGAAGCTTTCTGAGGTCCAATGGGGTCTTTTCAAGAGGTACAGGTAGTTCTGGAAGGACCTGAAGAGCAGGCAAGGGAAGGCGACGGGGACAAATACGTCTTATTTCCAAGGGGAGCTCAGCCCTGCACAACAAAACTGAGTGGCTGGGAGGCAATTAAAGAGAACACGGAGGCTCCAACCAGTGAAAAGCCTGAGAGGACAGGAGAGAAAAGCAGTGGCAGCTGGGGGAAGGGTGGGAGGGGTTGCGTGCGTATCTCCAGGGAGCATCAGCACCTGACCTGGTCAGGGTCACAAGGTCACTTTCCTACTTAAGACAGTGGAGTGGTCCGTGCCAGCCTGCACTGTCATGAGGATCCTGCCTCAGGAACTGGCTCTGGTCTTCCAGGAATGTATCTGGGGACCTGCAGGTGACTTCTGCTCAGTTCTGGTCCCGTCTCCCAGGCATCATTCTTCAGTCCACTTCTAATCTTACACTACTACCTCCTGAGTTCGACTTAGGGGTAAGAGTGAGACAGAACCTCTCCAGCCCTGCTAAGCTGTTTCCCGAACCCCAGGGAAGGTCCCCCTGCCCTGGAAGCTTCTTTCCTTCTCGCCTTTCTCAAACCCAATAACACACTGGAGTCACCTGGGAAGCTCTGAACACTACTGATGCCTGCACCCCATCCCCAGAGAGTCTAGAAGCTGGGGTGTGACCATGGCATTGGGGTTTTTAAAAGCTCCCTGGGAGACTTGGATGTGCAGCCAGGGGGAGAAGCAGCGCTCTTGATTCTGAACTGCAGGCAGACATCCTTTTGGCTTAATAACCTGTATCTCTGCTGAGGGGAGTAGGTGACAGGGAAGGCAGGTGCTGACTTGAACAGGTCGGAAGGCAACTGGCCATGCTGGGGGATGGAAGAGCAGGAGAGATTGTCCAGCCCCCCATATCCAAATGACATCAGTCACAGGACATTTTTGAGACTGCCATCAGTTGCAAAAGTGAGTAAAGTATTGATTTTTAAAATGAGAACATAACAAATCCACTTTAATTTGCTGATCAGAGCTCAGTAGCCTAAGAGAAGTAAAATCCAAGCATCAGGATGGTCTAGCAGCTAAGCAGGGATTCTCACACTTGAGCTTGCCTGGGCATCACTGGAGGGCTTGGGAAAGCATCACTGGGCCTGACCCCCAGGTGTCCTATTTAGTGGGCAGAGTGGTACCCCACAATGTGCATTTCCCAGGTGTGTTGATGCTGCTGGTTGAGTGACCACATTTTGAGAACCACTGCATTAGTGTGTTTCACAATAAGCCTAATGAAATGACATTTCCATGGCAGCTATTTATGCTTAGTTGTATAAACATGGTCTTCCTTCGCTAGCCTTGAAAGTGCTACAACACCAAGCTGAATAAAACAGAAAAAAAAAAAAGAAAACTGAGGTGTTAGATGGGTCCAAAATAACATTATGGGATTGTTTGAAATACTTGGAAGGATAACACATTTCCCCCACTACCCCACTTCCTTCTTTCAGGTATTTGGTTCAAAGAATTGGGCTTTGAGGATACCATGGTTATTTTATGAAATGTATGTAAGGTTGGCCTGAAAGAAACCAATGTAGTTCCCAGCAACCCTTCACTTACTTCTGAGCATGTGGTCTATGTGTTTGAACAAATAATTCTAATAAGTCAATAAAAGACCCTGGTCAATCTTAGTTTGTGGGTAAAGCTCTGTCAGGGATTGTAAATATAAAAACTCATTAATGAGACAATGTTGGGAGATAGTTTTGCTAAAAATCTAGTAAATATAGCTGAAAGCCTAGTGAAATATGCTCTTTGAAATTTTCCATTTTCTATGATCAGTAAGAAAATCAGTATTTCACAAAGCTAGCTCTTCACAGTCTATCCCTATTTGGTTAACCCTGGAGTGAAAACAATCTGCTAAAGTTATCCAGAAAATATAACAACAGGAGGGCACCATTTATCTTAATAGGCAATATTGTTCCTGATTGATTTAAGACTGCTCAAACTGAGACACTGGCTCAGAGCCGAAAGTAGGATAGGAGCCTGTGAATGGCCTCTCTTCTCTGTCATTTACCCTCTGGGGGTGTTCAGTAGCCTGGCATTAGAAATGCATTAGCTAAGTGGGATAGTCAGATTTCTTTGTCTCAGGTGTTTTTCATTTTGTTTTGTTTTAAAATCCTTACTTGGAGAGAGAAAACCAAAATCTTAGCAAAGGAGAAAAGATAATGCCTCTCCCTAAAGTTATCTTGTTTCAAACCAAACCATCTGGATTCTAAGTGTCCACATTCACTACTCAGAGAGATTTTGAATCATCTCCCAACTCTCCAGAATTCTTTATCTATGCATCTCAGGCTTCAGGCCAAGCCCGGTTACTCCACTTGTCTAGTGTTAGGTTTTCAGTGGGGAATTGCTCACCTTTGTTTAAGTTGTACAAGCATAGCCTTAGAAACAAAGATGTCAAGATATTAAAATATGTTAGTCTGTTTTTTTTTATAGAAAATACCCCAGCCTTGATTTCCAAAATATGTCTGAGATTATGAACAGACTCACTTGCTAATAATGAGTGTTTCCTCTCCGCATACCCAGACTCTCATGAACTCTCCATACATCTTGTTGTAGTAGTTGCAGGCGCTGCCGATCCCCATCCTCAGGAACCTCCAGTGGGAAATGAGGGGCCCAATTCCCATACAGTAGCCAGGCCCTAGGAAAGTCATCGGATCACAGTCAGAATTGTAGCAATGCCCAAAAAAAGCGACTGCTTTAGGTTACAGCCCTTGTTCTTTTATACTTTTATATCTAAATGTTCAACATTTTCTGATGTATATCTGTTACTAAAAGAAAAAAAAAAGATTTAAAAACAAGCTCAACACAAGGCTCTTCACCCCTCTATAAGTAAAAAACAGCTCAGTGTCTGCACCACACTTGTTCCATTTGGTCCCAGTCATTTCCATCTGAATGACCCCGGGAGGGGTATATGGTTTTCTTGCCATGTTAAATGATGTCAGTGAGTTTCAGATGCAGGTCAATCAGTCCATCTAGTTATAAGCAAGGAAGCCAGGAGGAATGACGTGCTGACAGATCTGGTTGGCTGCCTGGTACTGCATGAAACTTTTTGGTCTGAATGCCTCGGTTGACAGAATGGGGAGTTAGAATTAGGTTGTACTTTTGGTGCACTTTAATCTTTTCAGCTGAGAGGAACATGATCTGCAAAGACAATGTCCAAAGAATACCCATTTCTCTTTTTTCCTTCAAGACGGACTCAGTTTAAGAATCTTAACTAAATCTCACTAGGCAAAAATAAGCAAAGAATTGAGGAAATCAGGCAGTGAGTCTGATCAGTGTCTAGACTAGAGTTTGAGTCCAGTGTTGTTGTCTCACTCAAGATCAGTGGCCGCGACCCTATATAGACGATAGCAGAACAGTAAAAAACAAGAAGGCAGTGAAACACTGGGGCATTTGCTGTTGCTTGTATCAGAGAGCAAACTTGATAGCTTGATTTTACCAATGGTGGCAAAGCGTCAGATAAAAACCTTTTGGAATGGTTTTAAGAGTTTTATTGTTAAGTAGTTGCTTTTCTAAGTCTTTCTCCTTTGATTCCCTTCTGGCAGTGAAATAGTTATGAAGCTGAAATTCACACAACTATGTGAGATAGTACTCTCACAACATGGGCAAGAATTGTGTAATAATTTAGATAACCTAAGCTTTGGCTTGAATCATCTAAATTGGATGTTTAGTCCCAAATTTGGCAAACAAGATTCAGTCCTTAACTTTGCAATAGTTGGGTTAATGTGGACAAGACTGTCAGCTTTTTTTTTTCTTTGAAAGTAAAGGTCTTTGTTAATATCTATAGAAGATGGTATGATGAATATAACTAGGTCCCCATAAGGGCCCTGGGCAGGAGAGAAGAGTGTATGGGGAAAAGCACAGCATCAAAGAACTAGAACACAATGCGATCCTTTCCTTTACATGTATATTTACATATTTATAGTAGCATCAAAGAACTAGAACACAATGCGATCCTTTCCTTTACATGTATATTTACATATTTATAGTTGGAGTGAAGAATGCTCTAGGAGCAAAGAAACTTTGGTAGGATATTAGGGAAATATTCTGGTTGCAGCTGCATTAAATGCTCTCTGCTTCTTAGACTTGGGAATGCTTATCTAGGCACGCAGTGATTGCAGGATGCTCTATCACCCCCTGAGAGGGGCAGTAAATACTTCACTGTACTTTTGTACAGACAGTCTCCATGAAGCCAACAGCTGGGACCTCCCACCCACTGTCCTAATCAAGAGCCGCTGCATTCCATGCTAGGTAAACACCCGAGAGAAACCTGTGCACATGGATCCTCACAACAGCCCGGTTATGCTGTCCCTCAGAGGTAGAACCGATTTTCAAACCATGAGATGTCCTAGTAACTGCGTACCATCTGAACTGTAGCTGCATGCCCCAACGTGGACGAGTCTTACAAGGACAATATTGAGCTAAAGAAGCAAGGGAGAAGGGAATAAGTAATGTAGAATTCGATTGCTAAGACATTTAAAATCAAGCAAAATGAACCTGTATGTTTAGGGATGGGAAATTAGGTGGCAAAACCATAAAAACAGGGGAGTTTGTCATGAAATAGAAGTGTTTACCTCTGGGGTCGAGAGATAGAGGATGTGATTGAAAAGGTGCCAGAGACGTTTCTGGGAAGCCGCTAATGACTTATTTCTAGTCCTGGACTGTGATGACGTATTTATTTATGCCCTTCTCTGTGAGATAGCTTTCTAATGAGAAAAAGGGAAATGTGTTGCCATGTCCTTTTCCCAGTGCCCCACTCCAGGGATGTGGTGCCCAGGGCAGAGAGAGGCAGAGAGAGGGCCCATTTGGAAGGATGGGCATAGCTGTGCATCCTTGGGAAAGGAGAGCTACCAGGAGCCAGGTACCTGTGAGTCCTGGACAGAGATCAGTGAACTTGTGGCAATTTCCCAGAGTTAAAACTTACAAAACGCCCAAATAGGAATGACTCTCTTCTCCCCTAGACTGTCCCACCCATCCCTGGCACAAAGTCACCTGCCTGTGGGTGTCATCTTTGCATAGCACTTGGCCCTCTGCCTACCCAGAACCTGACATAGCAGGGCCTCGCAGGAAATCGTATTTTGGTTGGAGAAGCTTAGATTTGAGTCCTGGTTTCATCACTTACTAGCTGTGTGACATCTACTCTCTTTAAATCTCAGTATCTTTGTCTGTAAAATAAGCATTAACACACCTGTCTCACCAGAGTGCTGTGAGGGTCAAAGTGAAAATGGGTGTGAAATGGCTTTGAAAATTTTAACTTACATAAGGGCTTTAATCCTTACACTGTCTTAGTTTCCTTTGGCATTCACTGACCCTGAGCTTCTCTGAACCCATAAAACCAAGAACCCAGAGAGTCAGGGATTTGAAGGCACCAGCCAAAGGGGTTGGGAAGTATCTGTCAGCAAGAACCCTGGTAAGGGCCACTCCCCCAACCGTGCCTTCCCCAGCCAGGAACTCCCGGCTCTCTGTCTGGGCTGCGAGAGCACCCTGACCAGACCTCACATTTTCAGAGGGAAAGCAAGGACTGCTTACTCCCTGGCTAGCAAAATGATCATCTGCCTGTGATTTAGAACTCCCTGGCTGTCCCCCACCCACCAACCCCACCTTCCTTCCAGCTGAGATGCTGACAAGCCATTTCTGTCTCTGGACATTAACCCTTCACATGTAAAATGGGCACATGGAACTCTGTGGTTTCTCACACTTGCCATAAAGGTGTGCCTGGGCAAGGCAGCTAGCCTCTCTGGGGCGCCGTCTCCCGTCTGTCAAATGGAGGGGTTGGGCTCATATCCATGGCTTGCAACCCAGGAATTAAAAAAGAAAATATCAACACAGGGGTCACACTTCAGACCGGGCTGAGAGGCTGAGAACCATGGTACCATGTAACCTAACCAGCCTTGGATGAGAGCATGATGTCCCAGGCCCAGCAGTGGTGGGCAGGGTGAGCTGCCTCGCTGGGCTCCGGGTCCAGAGCTTTAGGGAGGCCAGTTCCCCCTCCTGCTTCCTAAAGGCCGCCCTCACTCAAAGGCCCCGGAGAGCTCTCCCACCACTGCAGCAGGAACATCTCAGTGGTAGTGGTGGTGGGGTGGGGGCCATAGGGAGTGCTTGTCACAATTGTCCACCTTACCCCCATCCCTCAGGGACCCTGACCTGGGACCCCACTGTGGAGGTGAAATTCAGTGAGGAAGGGGCACTGGTGGGGAAAGGGTTCATGTTAAAGACCATGCAAGAGTCTTCCTTCAGACCCCATCAGGGAGTGGAGAACAAAATTAACTAAGCATGCCATTAAATTGGGCCTTAAAGTATCCTAAAATTCGAGCCTGAATCAGACAGAGAAACAGCAGTTCCCTGGCAATTTTTAAAGAACCCATGGAGGAGGGGTTGGGGTGGGTGGGGGAAATAGGTGGAGTGGATAGAGGCTGCATTAAATGGACAGAATCCCAATTGTAATGTAAGTCATGGGGATGAAAGTACAGCATAGAGAATATAGTCAATAATTCTGTAACATCTTTCTGTCTTGAGAGATAGTGACTACACTATTTGGGGTGGGAACCTAACAATGTAGATAACTGTTGAATCACTATGTTGTGTACTTGAAGCCAATGTAATATTGTATATAAGCTTTACTTCAATAAAACATAAATAAAAATAAAATAAAGAATGCAAACACAGGGCCCTTTGCCCCAGCCCCACACTCCTGCTCTAAACCACACTGTGACGAGGCCCAGCACACTTAAAGTGTGTATTGACCACGGTCTTGAAATAAAGCCATGTTGGATCTCTCCTGGGACTGGGGACAGATGCCTGCCGTGAGGAGCTTGTGCTGAAAACTCAAGAAATGGCCTGATATTTCTGATAATTCCGAATTAATCCAATAGTGTGGAGTGGTGGGGGTTTCTACTGGGATTATCTGGGTAATTATACTCTACTTTTGATTGACCCACAGACCTTGTTGAAGAGTCTATCAGTTATGATGTGCCAAGGGATCTGTGGGTCCCCATTCTTCTCCCATTGCCCAGGTCCCATCTGGCCCTTAGGGTGGTCACGTCACCATCACTTCTACCCCAGGCGTGAAAGAAAATGAAGAGGGGGATGATAAGGAGAAGGAATCAGTTCAAGAAAGGGGGAGGGCAGAAGGCATGGATAAGGCAAAGTGGGAGGGAGAAGGAAACGAGCACAGAAGGCATTCCAGACACATTTTTACCTCCAGAACAAAAGTGGAATGAATTTGAATAAAAACAAAAAATTAAACAAACAAAACACCTCTAATTCTGCTTTGCTCCAACCCATCTAAATATACCTTACAAGATACTTGTGCCACGTCTACTTTACCAAAGCAAAGTGCAGACTGGAAGGGATTTTCTAAGATATTTTTAAAATGCTTTCATTTAAAATGTGCACACAATTGGTATAAAAATCTGCTCACATTGCAATGGGCTTCAGCCATCTCCCTAGGTTTGCTCTTTGTCCTTTTGCAAAAATTTCTTTACCCTCATGAACCAAATTCTCAAGTAAACTGCTTCCTTAGCTAGGTAACCAAATGACTGACTGACCTGGTATGGAGGATGTATCCTTGTAATTCCAAACCAAGATTAGAAAGCCAGTGAGCAGCAGGACTGGCATGGCGGCAACTGGCACGACTTCGGACACCATGCTGGTGATGTTATAATGCGTTGGGTTCAGCATTTCCAAAACCATCTTGTGTTCTTTAGTCTCAGGGGAAGCAGTTTAAAGTCCTACAGAAATCAGAGGGGCAGAAAATTGAGAGAATCCCCCACAAGGGACATCTAGGACTCCCCTTGCTTCAGAGGATACTGTACTGTAGAGTCTGGCGTGCTGTTTTATAATGTGATTGGACACCTAGACAAGACAAATTTGTGGTTACAAGTCAAAACAAGCAAGCCCAAGGGAGGTCTTTTGGCTTGAATGCAGCATTTCTGACCTTGCTAGAGTCGCAGGTTCATTTGGACGCTTGGTCTGATAGAACCTTATCATCTTGCCCTTGAGTGGGTAGAGTGACTGAATTCACAATTGAGAGGCACATTTCTTACCAAAATACAAGCAAATGAAGCTCACTTCCAAGGTGGAGTCATTCCGTGACTTCATCAGCAGATATTGTTTAGGCAGTCCTTTTTCCCTTGAGGCCAAATCAATTTGAAATAATATGCAATCCCCAACCCTCTTCCTTACTCAAAATTGCTTCTACCAAAGAAGCTTCTCTAGCTGCAACATGTTTGTTGGGCATCTTTGCGGTGTTCTTATAGCCTCCTATCTGGTTGTGTATTGACTTCAACGTGACTCACTTAGGTTAATTTTTTTCTCTTGGCGTTAATGAGGTTTAAAATCTCTCGCACCATGGGCTGGATTAAGCAGTGCCCATGGGGCCAATGTCAGAGGTAGTGGGAAAGGAGAATGGGAGAGGAAGAATAAAGGGAGAGGAGAAAGAGAAAGAGTGGACAGAATAGGATGCCACTCAGCAACCCCACCCCCTGAAGCAGCTACCTCTCTCTGCAGGATAGCGTGCAGTCTGATTTGCTGGTCCGTTGTGTTTTTCAACCATGTAACATGGAGTCTGTTTTCTCAGTAAGATTTTCTCATACCCATGCTCTCAGAAGAGAGTTGCAGGGATGGTAGTTTGTTGAAGAGACCTAGAGTGAATGAACTTGTACAGCAAGGAAAGGGCAACCATTCAATGCAGTTCCCAGTGCCAGGTGTCTTCCCCAAGGCTTACCTCCCCTTGGAAAGTGCCCTTAGTCTCCAGGACTGACAATGGCTCTGAAACAGATTTGGGCTGAGTTTTGTCTAGAAATGAAATTCCAGATTGTTAAACAGGGCTTCTAATTGGATCTCAGGGCTCTGTGAACTCCCCAAAATGCTGCAGAAAGTGTTGAACCTTCTCATGTGCACTTTTAGGGGAAAGAAGCCATAAATTCTGTCAGATTCTTTAAGCTTATCTAATTATACTTCTCCCCCAGTCTATGTAAGGTCTTAACTCTCCAACAAAGGCACATTTTTATAAGGAATGTTGGCAAAGATGTGAAGAAAAGGGAGCCTTCTTGCATGTTGGTGGAAATGTAAACTGGTGCAGCCTCTATGGAAATCAGTATGGAGGTTCCACAAAAAAATTAAAAATAGAAATGCCATATGACCCAGTAGTTGCACTTCTGGATATTTGTCCCCCAAATCCCTGAATGACTAAATTTGAAAAGTTTATGTTTATTGAAGCATTGTTTATGATAGCCAAGATATGGAAGCAATCTAAGTGTCCACTAACAGAAGTATAAAGAAAAGGTGGTACATATATACAATGGACTATTACTGCGCCATGAAAAAGAATAAAATCTTGCTGTTTGCAGCAAGATGGATGGACCTAGAGGGGATTATGCTAAGTGAAATGAGTCAGACAGTAGAGGCAAATACCAAATGATTTCACTTATATGTGGAATGTAAAAAAAGTTAACAAAACAAATAGCCTCTAAATACAAGGAGCAAACTGATGGTTGCCATAAGGAAGGGGGATAGGGGATGAAATAGGTGAAGGGGGTGAAGAGGTACAAACTTCCAATTATAAAACAAATAAATAAATAATGGGGGATGAAAAGTACAGCATAAGGAATACAGTCAATAATATTCTATCTTTGTATGGTGACAGATGGCAACTACATTTATCATGGCGAGCATTTTCTAATGTATAATTGTCCTATCACTGTGCTGTACCCTTGAGACCAATATAATATATATCAAGTACATACCTCAATTTGAAGAAAAAAAAAAGACCCATTTCTGGCAACTACAGAAATTTCACAATATGGTTGAATTCATTCTGCTACTTTACTCATTCTCTTATTCCACCATAAACAGTTAAGGGCAAGGCACTGGAAACATCTGCACATACCTTGGGCAGTTTAAAAAATGTATAAGTTGAGACTGAAAATTCAGCAATGTGTCTGTTATCATTGGATCCCTTTGTTGATGAGTAGCTGGTTGAGAATAGGTGAAGTTTTTAGGCTTTTAATTTCCAGAGTGTAATTTTACATCATTCTGAGTAAGCTCCCTGTGACTTTCTGACAGCCAGGACTCTCAAGGTTTCTGTTTATTGATGAAACCTGAAACCAACATTAGAAGTGTAAGTGAAGAAAGTGGTCGTAACAAAGAGGAGGAAGATATCCCAGGGGTTGGCAAAAACTTCACACTGAAGAAACCCTTAGAGATATTTCACAGTGTTGAAAGCACAAAGGATACAATGTTGGAAGCTGGTGCAAGTTTATAAAGGAGCATGACTATTCACAAAGGCGTAGAAAAGATGCACCCTTTGTATTGTAAGCTATACAAAGAGAAGGTGGCAAGAACTGTTCAACCCTTCGTAAGAATGTTTTTTTAACAAAGAAAACACTTTGAGAATTGCAGTGTTTTTCATATTTTAAACTAAAGTGTATCGGTTTAGCTAATTTTTGCATTTCCCTATACATTTAAGACCCACAGTAAGAGAGGTTTTAATGTTTTAACAGAAGTTTTTAAATGTCATGGAGCAGTCACATTGTTTTCTCTTGATTTTTAAGATTGCTTGGTACAGTTCTGGTTTGCATGGCCATTTGTATGATCCTGCACTACTGCGCAAAGTGAGGGGCACCTGGATGGCTAAATGTTTAATGGGGCTAAGAGCCTGGTTCCTCATTTTCCTCAAAATTATGTCATGAAGATGGAAGATGCCCAAATGAGTACTCTTTAAAGACCCAACAGGATAAGATTTTTTTAAATGCTTAAAAGCATTTGCTATCGGGCAGACATTGTTTCAGACACTTTACAAATATTAAGCTATTCATCCTCATACAACCCTATGAGTAAAGTGTGATGATCCCCATTTCACAGAGGAGGAGACTGAGGTGGGAGGAATAGCTTTCCCTTGGGCACCCAGCTTGTCTGTGGCAGAGCCGATACTGGAGTCCATGCCGTCTGTCCCCGGAGCCCATGCTCTTAATCATGCCATTTTGCTGCCTATTATGGAATTCATTTGGTCCCCACAGTCAGGGACATTTCAATCATTTATGTTCCCAGGCAATTCAGAAAGATTCCCTTTAAAGGAGTCAGCTTTTGAGACCTCTGAATGTCACAGCTGAAGATGTCCTTTGAGATTGTCTGCTCCTTACCCACTGGTTTTCCTGTTCAGTAGAACATCCTGATGGGCCACACAGGTTAAACAGAGGCTTTTGAGCAGTGGTACAGGAATGTAGGGCTTCATAGGGGTTGCTTATGTGTCCCCTGTACCAGAAACCCCCTCCACTTATCCCCGAACATACATACACACATGGCTCTCAAGTGCCATGCACTCTCAAAGGCCATCTCGATGCTTGGGTCTCCAGGCATCTGTTTGCACAGTGGTCCTCACCTTCCCTTGCTGGGGCACCCACACTGGGCCTGGCATCAGCTGGGGCTGTGGCCTCCTGATGAACCAGGCCTGTGGTCCTGTGCTGCATGGGCCCACAGGTATCCTAGTGCCTTCACTTACTGCCCTACAACCGCAGGGTGAGGAAATGCCAGCCCTATACCCAGAGTCCCCAGTGTGAGCCAGGGCAAAAGCCACTGGGAATACAGCAGGGCCTGGGTGTCCTGATGCCTTGAGGCCAGGACACACTCTGGGCCCCGTGGTGCCAGGAGAGGCTCCCAGATGTTCCGGTACAGCCCTAGGCTGGCAAGAGTGCTGTTCATCCCAGCCAAACCCTACCAATCTGACCTTGCAGCATGCGTTGACCTGTGCAGTGGGGAGCAGATCCAGACACCCTGGGTCTGAAGGCCAGATGTCAAGCCTGCCCTCCCTGTCATTCTCTCCAGAACAACCGCTCTGCCCCTCTTTCATGTCTGCACCCCCAGAAAAATGTGACCCAACCACCTTGGTTCTTCCTACAGCACCTTCTGATTTAGGTCCCCCCAGGGGGCTGTCTCCCAGAGCTGCTGCAAGGAGCAAGACCGCATGACCTCAGCCTGCAAGGACTGACAGACAGGATCTTGGAGGAGGAGGTACAGACCCTTATTGAATGGTTCCCCAAGTGAATGAGAATTTCCAATTGGAGGCAGTAAGGCTTCTGGCTGCAGAGTGTCCTGTCCCAGGGAGGGGCTTTGGAGTGGGACTGGGGGCCTGGGAGGGCGCGAGCAGGGGCAGGGTGAGTGTGATGCTAAGCAGAAAGAAGAGTCAGCAAGGTTCAGAAAGAAGGCTGGTGACCTGGGGCTCAGAGAGCCAGGGGACTTGTGTGGGGCTGGAGAAGGTGGTAGGGGACACCTGTGCAAAGCCTTGTAGGCACATTAAAGATGTTAGAATTATTCCGAAGAGAAATGAGAAAGCACTAGAGGGCTTTAAGCAAGGGGTCCACAAAATCATATTTGTGTTTTGAAAGTCCAAATAAGTCTAGCAGCAGCGGGAGAATGTGATGTGTGTTGGCATGGGTGAAGGCAGGCCAGCTGGGAAGCTTCCAGATTTTTTCAGATAACAGAGGGAGATACTGTAGTCTTGGGAGATGGAAATGGAGACAAGTGGACAGGTTCGAGAAATACTTGGGTGAGTTGCCATGACTGCCATGATTTAAAGCCAATGATATAGGGGGGGAAATGCTAAATATGATGCCTAAGTTTCCAGACCATGGAGCTGGATGGGTGATATGCCATTTTCTGAGCTAGGATCAGTTTTGACGTGTGGGGAGTTCTTTTAACTTTTAGAAATGTTGACTCTGAGGAATTGTTGAAA